GCTGAACTGCAACCCCGAGCCAGAATATCTAAGCTTGAAAACCATAAACATCTATGCCAAGTTATTTTACATTTTTCCACCAATCAAGATAGGAGTTAGTTCCTGGGTCTGGGAACATGAACTTATTTAACCCTGCCAGCAAGATGGAGAAGTTGTCCTTGAGATGTCTGGACTCAGACAACTCTTTCCTTACAACAGAAGCTGTTTGGCTCTTGGGAAGTCCTCAGTTCCCCTAAGCCTGGGAACTTGAACTTAGTTTCTCCCTATGATTAAATAGAGTCTGAAAACAAAATGGCAGTACTTAGAATAAGTTAGTTTTGTTCATTCTCAACAATCCAACCAGGCCATTCCTGAACTGGCTAAAGAAAAAAAAAAATAGGCATTGAAGGAGTTGTCCAGTATGTACTGGCTTGAACTTGAGAACTCCCATGAGAGCAGTTATGGAAGGTCCTGGAGCAGAGGGTGAAGCATAAAGTTGTATAAGTGAGAATGGAGACACAACAAGAGTTTAACCTAACACTGGAACTCACTCTGTAAACCAAGTTGGCCTCTTAAAGATTACAGAAATTCATCCACCTGCCTCTGCCTCTGATTAAAGGCATGCTCCACCACACCCAGCCTTGTATACAGTGATTGTATGTCTTGACAACCTGACCTTTGTCCCAGTTTGCCATTTCTGCATTAGTCATGTTTTACTTAAGCCAACCTCTTCTTCTTCTTCTTCTTCTTCTTCTTCTTCTTCTTCTTCTTCTTCTTTTTATGGGCATGGAGCTTTTCTCCTTTTACTTGTTCTTTGACAATCACACAGGTAAAGGCTGCACCCAGCCCTCTCCCTCCCTCTCACCCCCAGCATCTCCAACACGTCCTGAGCACCTCGTAGGGTCCCCTTTGTGTTGTTAATAACCCACTGTGTCCAGTTCTGCCTGCTGGAATGTTAACTGATCTTGTCTTTGATCTCGTGCAGGGGAGCCGCAGCTGCGGCCATGCCATGTCCTGAAGACAGATTCCACAGCACGCCTCCCTATCCTGAGGCTCTAACCTCTTTTCCACCCCTCTTCCACAGTGTTCCTTTATAAGCCAAATTCTTTTACTCCTTTGTAGGAGCAACTAATGACTCTCTCTGTGGTTTTTTTTTTTTTTGTTTTGTTTTGTTTTGTTTTGTTTTGTTTTAGGCAGAGCCTCACTTTATAATCCTGGAACTCGTGGAGCTCTGCCTGCCTCTGCCTCCCAAGTGTCTCTGCATTCTTTTTTTTTTTTTAAGAGTGTTTTGTTTTGGAGCTGGAGAGATGGCTCAGAGGTTAAGAGCACTGTGTGTTCTTCCTAAAGGTCCTGAGTTCAATTCCCAGCAGCCACATGGTGGAGCATAACTATCTGTAATGAGATCTGGTGCCCTCTTTGGCATGCAGGTGTACATGCAAGCAGAGTACTGTATAAATAATAAAAATAAATAAAAATAAATCTTTAAAAAAAAGTGTTTTGTTTTATTTTTAAGATTTATTTATTTATTATTTATACCTGTGAGCCAGCAGGCCAGAAAAGGGAACCAGATCTCTTTATTGATGTTCTCATTATTGATGGTTATGAGACCTCTGGAAGAGCAGCCAGTGCTCTTAACCTCTGAGCCATCTCTCCAGCCCGTGTCTCTGCATTCTTCCCAGTGTTCTCGCCTCTATTTTACCCCCTTGCCTCCTTTGCCTACAGCATACTTCTCTTTCAAACCTCAACCCCACTGGGAATTGTATATCTTGTAATGAAAAGATAAGTTAAACTTCTGGGGAAACGATCTGCCAACACAGTCCTTTTTATAAATTATCATTATTATTATTATTATTATTATTATTATTATTATTATTATCATCATCATTATTATTAAGGTTCCAGTGTGCAGCCCTGGCTGACCTTGAACTTGCAGAGATCCTCCTGCCTTTGCCTCTCCAGTGCTGGGATTAATCCACCCCAGCTCTTAAAAAAAGTCTTCTTAACTGCTGAGCCATCTTTCCAGCCCCAACACAGTATGTAATAATCATAGTCCTTACACATGGTAGTTGTCTACTGACCAATCTGTACACTTCACTAGGGTTTGGAGGCCGTGTGTCTTTTATCTGTATGCCTGTGATATCTACATAATGCCTACCTGGCACCTAGTAGGTCCCTAAAAAAAACATTTGTTTCTAGAGAAAACAAAGACTGCTGCTGTTTTTTTAAATTTTAAACTCTTTGATCCAGGACTTATGATGTTTATTATTCTGAACCTGAGGACTATAACAGTAGTAATAATAATGGTAGTAGTAATAATTAATTTAAAAAAAAAAAGAAAGAGCACTGGCTGCTCTTCCAGAGGTTCTGAGTTCAATTCCCAGCAACCACACAGTGGCTCACAACTATCTATAATGAGGTCTGGTGCCCTCTTCTGCTGTGTAGGTGTCATGCAGGCAGAACACTGAATACGTAATAAGTAAATAAAAACTTTAAATTTTTTTAAATCAAAAAAGAAGAAACAAAGTATTAAAACAAAAACAGAAGAGTAAACAGGGAGTGGCTGTGGGTATCTATAATCATGGTGCCTAGGAGGCAGATGGAGAACCCTGAAAATTTGAGGCCCAGTCTACATTATGCTACAGAAAACCTCGGATTATACTATAAGACCCTTCACACCAGATGCGATGGCACACACCTGTAATCCCAGCACTCGGGAGACAGAGGCAGGCGAATTTCTGAGAGTTTGAGGCCAGCCTGGTCTACAAGGTGAGTCCAGGACAGCCAAGGCTACACAGAGAAGACTTGTCTTGAAAAAAAAAAAAAAGGCCCTTCACACACACACACACACACACACACACACACACACACACACACGATAATGAGTAATGAGTTAAAAGAGAAGGAAGGGTAAAAAAAGAGACAGCGGAGTTAATAGATTTTATTTGGGTAGGTGGACTTGGGCAGTTAAAAATGGCATCAGTTTAAAGAAGGTCACAGTTTAAAGGTTACAAATAGAGTAAACTGAAGAATCCAGAATAATTCAAGTCGTCATTATTCTGGAATGTTTCCTTCAAAATAAACTCACAACTTAACACAGTGTCCTTCCAAATGAGCTAGAAGGAAGGCAGGTGTTTTCCCAAGGCACCTCAGCTCTGCAGCTGTGGGTCCGTCCAAGTGCTGAGTTCAGAGTTAGAGTAAACAGACCGTATTCCAACTGGCTCAACGCACATTCAGTCCTAAATACCAGATATTGGGGTTCTGTTGTTCTTCAAAGGCCTCGAGCAGCCTTTCGGAAAATGTTACTCACAGATTACTCACATTGCCACCGCTGGAATCCGTATTATAGAACACCCATCAAAGAGAATTCTGAGTAGCTCCACTGACTAATCTGTCCTATTGGCGTGACCACACCTTGGCAGAAAATGAGCAATTTGTCTAAGAAGGAACGCTTAAGCTGGGGTCCGTGTGGAAAGGTGACCCCAGGTGGCTACATCTCCAGAGTTTTTCTCTTGTAACAATCATCTGGTCCCAGTTATAATTGCCTCCTAGCATAAAAACCTGTTTTCTTGGCCTGGGGATATGGTTCAATCTGTAGAGTTCTTGCCCTGCATGCACTGAACGGCGTGGGTGCTCAGGCCTGTGAACCCAGAACTTGGGAGGATCGGAAGTTCAAGGTCATCCTTGGCTACATAGGGAGTTTGACACTAGCCTGGCCCAGAAATGTTTCAGGATTAAGAAAACCAGGCAGATCCTTTCAGAGGACCCTTTATAGTAGGTTCCCATCCTGTTTCTTCTCTTCCACCACTTCTGGTGTCTATCCTGTCTGCCATTCTGAATGAGATCTAAGCACTCTCCCTCTGGTGCTCCTTTGTGTTTAGCTTCTTTAGGTCTGTAGATGGCTATCCTATATTATACAGCTAATATCCACTTATTAGTGATTGTATACCATGCCTGTTTTTCTGCTTCTGGGTTACCTCACTCAGGATGATATCTTCTAGGTCCATCCATTTGCCTGCAAATTTCATGATTTCCTTGTTTTTAATAGCTGAGTAGTTTCCATTGTGTAGATGTACCACAATTTTTGTATCCATTCCTCCGTTGAGGGACATCTAGGTTGTTTCCGTATTCTGGCTGTTACAAATAGAGCTGCTATGAACATGGCTGTGCAAATGTCCTTCTTGAATGGTGGGGCATCTTTTGGGTATGCACCCAAGAGTTCTATAGCTGGATCTTGAGGTAATGCTATTCCTAATTTTCTGAGAAAGGATTCACCTAACGGGGATCAAAGCAGATGCTGAGACTCAGGGTCAAACTTTGGGCAGAGCCCAGGGAATCTTATGGAGGAAGAGGGATGGGAACACAGTGACATAGCGGGGACAGGAGCTCCACAAAGAAACCAACAAAACTAAAAGATCTGAGCCCAGGGGTCCTGCAGAGACTGATGGAGAGGACCTAGACCCCCTGCTCAGATGTGGCCGGTCGGCAGCTCAGTCTCCATGTGGATCTCTGAGTGAGGGGAGTAGGGGGCTGCCTCTATCCCGAACTCACTTGACTGCTCCCTAATCACTTGCCCCTGGTGATGCGGCCTTGCCAGGCCACGGAGGAAGAGGATCCAGTTAGTCCTGATGAGGCAGATGACAATGGAGGAGAACTCTCCCTTTCAGTGGAACTAGGGGAAGGGGATAGGAGAAGAGGGAGGGAGAGTGGGATTGGGGGTGTGTGAGGGAGGGGGCTTCAATCAGGATATATAATAGATTATGAAGAAAAAAAATTAAAATAAAAAAATGAAATTAAAGACAGGAAAACAACAACAGAAAACTGGGCCTCTGGGTTCTGGGGTTAGGCGAGCGCAGGGAGCGATGGGCGGAGTCAGAGGCAGAGCACCGCCCCTGAGCTGCGAGCTCCGGCCGCTGCGGCTTCCGCTCTCAGCTCCGCGCTGCGCACGTGCTCGGCCGCCCGCCGAGCGCGCGCCGGCTGCGCCGTCCCGCGCGGGGAAGGCGGCCAACGGCTGCTGCACGGACATGGAGTCGGACCCCAAAACCTCCGAGCCGAAGGCCGGGGTCTGCAGTGCGAGCCGGCCAGCGGAGCAAGCCGTCCCAGTCACCCCCAGGGACTCGGCGGCCGCGTCCTCCAAGGACCTCACGTCCCCCGTGCGTTCGGTGGTGGCCTCCCCGCGCCCCGTGAAGGGCAAGGCGGCGCGGCGGCGGCTCCAGCTCCCGCCGGTCTCTCAAACCGAGACCGGGGACGAGGAGCCCGTGCCCGCGGTGCCCGAGGACCAGGAGGAGGCGCAGCCCCTGCCGCCGCTCTGCGCATCCCCCATGAGGGGCATGTGGCGCAGCGAGAAGGTGGCTCTGTACTGCGACCAGGTGCTGCAGGGCTCGAAGGTGCGAGGCCGAGGCTGGGCCCCTAGCACAGCGGAGGGTGTGTGTGGGGGGAAACAAAGCCGTCTCTTCCAAACAGTCTCTCACATTCCAAGGTGTCCGGAATGGCCACGCTGGTCGCTTTGGAAGTGCCCAGACCCTCAGCCCCTGCCCTAGGAGTTGACTAGACTGTCATACAAAATAAGTCAGTTAAAATAACACCTCCTAAAAGACGAGGTCGTGGAGATGGCATCACAGCCCGGGCATACATCTTACTGTTCGCACATCTCTGTCCACACATCTCTATGCTTCGGTGTCCACACACCTCAGTGTCCACACACCTCAGTGTCCACACACCCTAGTGTCCGCACCTCGATGTCTACAGAACCTAGTGTCCACGTATCTCATTGTTGACACACCCCAGTTTTATTGTTGTTGTTGTTTTTAATACATCACAGAGTTCTTAGAATATTAGGTAGCAGTAACAATTCGGGTCCAAACGTAAACCTGAGGTTACACAGTTACTCTAAAAGTGGGAGCCAGAGGGATGGCCCTTTGGTTAAGCCCTTGCTGCTCTTGTAGAGGACTCAAGTTCCCAGACCCCACAAGGTGACTCACAACCATCCTTAACTCCAGTTTCAAGAGACCCCAGATCCTCTCCTGAACCTTACCAGGCATCAGGTGCACAGGGGTGTGCGTACCCAGGTACACTAAAACAAACAAACCCAAGATGTTCTAAAAATTGTTGCCAGTCAAACGGGTGGTGGGGCCACACGCCTTTAATGCCAGCATTCTCGAGGCAGAGGCAGGTGAGTTCCAGGCCAGCCTGGTCTACAGAGCAAGCTCCTGGACAGCCAGAGCTACACAGAGAAACCCTGTCTCAAGAAAGGAGAGAGAGAGAGAGAGAGAGAGAGAGAGAGAGAGAGAGAGAGAGGAAGGAAGGAAGGAAGGAAGGAAGGAAGGAAGGAAGGAAGGAAGGAAGGAA